AATAATTTAAAATGAAAATAGCAAGTCTCTTGTGACTTAAGCCCGTAACAAAAATTATTATAATGGGAATGGTGAGTTTCTTGTGAATCAAGGCCATAATAGAAATAATTTAAAATGAAAATAGTGAGTCTCTTATAATTCAAGCCCATAACAGAAATTATTGAAAAAGAAGTTGCAAGTCTCTTGTGACTCAAACCCATAAAGAAATCATTGAAATAAAAAAACTTTGAAAGCCATAGACGACTTCGATTGCATAGGTGGAAAACTCGTCATTGGTTTCATTTTAGTGAATAGAGCAATTGGATAGTCATACGTTCGTCACATATACCATGTATTTGGCATATCACATTCAAAATTAAGATCAATCATATCATTCACACACAAACACACATATCATATTTGAATGTGAACACCAAGACCAATATTTATCCCGGATATACTATTGAAATTAAATCTCTATCCCAATCTTCTTAACTCTATTACAAAGCATTAATCACCGACCTTATTTCACCTTAAAATACACGAAGTCTCGACTCTTTTAGGTTCGATACACATCGGTGTATCCGATCACACTTTCAAATTTCAAGCATAATCGACATCCATTATTTTTGTATTTTTTATGTTCATTAATACATGCCATTTACATAATTTCAATAAGTAAATTTAATGGATACAAATATTAGACCCAAATAGTCTGTCGAAAAGGATTGAATTTGTCCAAAGTCTTGTTCGAGGTTAGTTTTACTCTTTTTGTCCTTAGTGAAAACTAATTGTTTAGTAATTTAGAAAAGAAAATAACTTCCTATTAAAGAATTAAAGATGATATTGTAAAATAACCAAATGCCCCCGATCAAATGTGAAATGACCAAAATATACCCAAAGGAAAAAAATTATGAAACTACCCCCAATTACCAAACCACCACTGCTACTTGCTCGACCATCATCCGATGGTCTTTCAAACATGTGGACCGGCTCGCATGATGGTGGAGGTCTTACTTTACCATTTAAGAGTAGTGGCGAGTCATCATTGTCAACGAAGAAGAGAGATCAACAACCTAGAAGTTTCGATCGAATCTCCCTCTCTTCTCGATGAAGATTCTTGTGAGATTATGAGATTTTGAGGACACCAATTGACTCAAAGGACTACGAGGAGTGTTTTTATAGTAATTAGGAGGTTCGATTTGGCCTTAATCGATTGATTTAGTCGGATTGCAAAAAACGGATCATCATCAATTCAACCATTTTTTGATGATATTAGGTCATGATTTTTTTAGGGAAATACCTTCTAAGAAGTCGGGGAACACTTTTGTGATGGTGGCAACCGGTGTTTTGGCCGAAATTGGGAGATTTAACCAAGTTGTTAAACGGGTTAGGCCATCGACCTTCTCTCCTCAATTTTGGCTAAATCGACATCTCCTCATTCTTTAACTAATTGAGAATGGTGGACCTAGGTATGGGCTATTGATTGGTGGCGGATAGAGGAGATATTGACCAAAAGGTGGTCGACTTGGTAAGAGAAGTGTAGACGAGTATATGGGTTAACCTATGAGTCGATAGGTTTGATCTTTTCCTTGGGGGCTATTTGGTAGATTTTTTAAGGGTTTCCCATTTTTTGGGATTCGTATCCTCTTAAATGCTCGAAGGGGTTGGGTATTTATGGAAAAAAATTAGGGTTGTGGGCAAACGTTAACTTTGGTCCTTGGTTTCTCCTAATTTTCAATTTCAATGTTGATTTGCTTGGTTTTTTTTTCCTTAATTTTACCATTTCCTTTTTTGAATTAAGGATTCGAGGTTTTGAAATTTTCAATTGCACCCTCAATTGGGTTATCTTTGGTCCCTATACTTCTTATTTTATGTTTAATTAAACCCAAAATCCTTTTTTTTTCTTTCTAAATAACTATCTTTTTTGTTTTTTATTTTCTTTTTTTTGTGTATTTTCTTTTAACTCTTAAATTTAAAATAGACGGGTAAAAATTAGGATGCTAATAGAAGCAATGCGTATGGGATGTCTATATTGACACACGTCATTCCAATTCATTAATATGATCGACAAGTGTATGGAATGTCTATTTGACCATTTAAAAAAGAAAAGCATAAGTTACAGTAACTCTTATTGTGTTATGAAATTTTAAAAACCATCTAAAAGTTTAAAAATTTGACAAAAATCCCATATCATAACAAAAAAAACCCCCGTTAATTATTATTTTATAAAATAGTTGAATTATTAATTTTTAAATTAAAGAGAACATTAATAAAGATACTAAAAAAATAACTGAAAATAAATACATTGCAAATGTCTCTCTATTCTTTCTTTAGTCTTTATTTTGTCTCTCTACTCTTTTTGCGTTAAGTCCATCCCTCTCTGTTTAGTTTATATCTTAATCTTATCATTTCGTTAATTTTTAGACTAACAATGTTAACTTTTTTTCCTGTTTTACTCTCATCCATCTAATCTTTTATTATTATTATTATTATTATTATTATCTTAATTTTTCTTTTAATACCAAATTTAAATAAATAATTTTTTTTAAAAAAAGTGAAGATATATCTGGTTATTCTCTTTAAAAATTAAAAATAAAAAAAATAAGAAAATGTGAAGCTAAAAATATTTTTTTATCCAAAAATATACTTTATGGGTTTAAATTTATGTCTATGATAGTAAGCATATTTTAAGTAATAAATAAAATATTTATAGTATTTTTTAATTTATGAAGAGAATTTTAGTTAAAATTTTAAATTTTTGAATGATATTTATAATTTTAAAATACATCAAAAGAGTTTAATATAATTTAATTATTTTGATTTTACAAATTTCTTAATTATAAAAATATAGTTGAAGCTCTCTATATATTTAAAAAAAGAATATTATAACTATTTTATTTTATACTCAAGTTTTGCATACTATCATAAAGACATATATATATATATATATACACATACACTATTAATATTTTATTTTATACTCAAAATTTACTTGCTATCATAAAATTTAAACTGAAAAAGGATATTTTAGATAAAAAAAAATTATCTTCACATTTTTTTTTTAGTTTTTTTTTTTAATTTTTAAAGAGAATAACATGATATATCTTCACTTTTTTCTATATATATTTTTTAAAATTTATTTATTTAAATTTAGTAAAAAAATAAGAATAAGATGAAAAATAAAGTAGATAGGTGAGATTAAGAAAGAAGGAAAAAAATTTAGCACCATTAGTCTAAAATTTAATGAACTGGCGAGATTAAAACAAAATTCAAATATAGATACGATAAAGATAAGAAAAAAAAGAGAGAGGCACCTTTGCAACCATTAATTCAAAATTAAATAGCAAAATTAAAATTGTTCTTGTAGTAAAAAATATTTTGGGTCCAATTTTTTTTAAAATAATTTAAATTTAAATATTTTTCTAAATAATAGTTAAGGTTATTTTTGGTACCAAATAAGGTTTTTGTAATGTTTTTTTTTTAAGCGTGAAGGAAGTTTTTGTAATTTTTCTTAAAACTTGAGGAGTTTTTTTTTTTTTTTTTTTCTTTTCTTTTTTTTTTTTTTTATCAAACCTTCAAGTTTTGGATGGTTTTTATTAATGATTGTAAAAGTCTCTGTATTTTATTTTATTCTTTTATCTCTATCATGCCTTTTTATTTTTTATTTTTTATCTTAAATTCATTCCTCTACTTTTGTTTTTTGTCTTAATCTCATTTCTCCATTAACTTTTAGACTAACAATGTTAAAGTTTTTTTTTTCAATCTCATTCTTCTATTCTATTTTTTTTCATTATATTCATTTTTTATTGAATTAAATAAATAAATTTTGAAAAATAAAAAAAATTGAAAAAAATAAAAATACATTTGGTCATTCTATAAAAGCAATAATAAAAAACCTTAAAAAATGAAGATAAAAATATTTTTTTATTTGAAATATCTTCTATGGACTTAAATTTGTTTTTATGATAATAAGAAAATTTTGAGTATAAAATAAAATATTTATAGTATATTTTTTAAAATATGTCTTTATGATATTAAGTAAATTTTGAGTATAAAATGAAATGTTTATAGTATATATATATATATATATATATATATGGAGTTTTAGTTAAATTTTTGAAATTTGAAAATTTGTAAAATCAAAATAAGTAAATTATAATAGATTCTTTTTTATGTATTCTAAAATTATAAATATCATTCAAAAATTTAAAATTTAACTAAAACTCTCATCACATTCAGAGAAAAAAATATTTTAAATATTTTATTTTATACTTAAAATTTGCTTATTATTATAAAAATAAATTTAAATCTATAAAGCATATTTTAGATAAAAAAAAATTGAAACTTTATTTTTAATTTTTAGAGATAATGACAGGAGGTATCTTCATTTTTAAAAAAAAAAATTCAAAATTTATTTATTTAAATTTGATATGTTAAAAAAAATTAAGACAAAAAAATAAAATATAAGGATGAGATTAAAATAGGATAAAAAAAAACAACTTAACATCCTTAGTGCAAAAATTAAGAAAAAAATGAGATTAAGACATAAGCCAAATATAAATGGCTGAATTTAAAACAAAACTAATTAAAAAAGCTCGATAAAGACAATATATATATATATATATATATATATGGGAACTGTACAATTATTAATCCTTTATAATTTTGCAGTCCATCAAGATACTTATTGTAATTTATTTGAAAGGAAAATTTTCTTAAAAAATGAAAATAATCTTTCTAATTCCCCAAACGACACCGTTGAAAGTCCACCAAACCACCCACCCGTCCATCCAGCAGTCCCTAGGAATCATCGACGGTCGCGACACCCTCTCGCTGTCCCATTGGCCGCTTAACCTTTCACTCTCTCGACGAGTCCGTCACATTTCCTCCTCTTTCCTTCCTCTTAAAAAAACATCTCCCTTGTCTTCGACCCCTCTCTCTCTGCCCCTCCCTCCCTCTCCCTCACCAACCCCATTTCTGTCTCTCTCTCTCTCCCTCCCCTTCTCTCTCTCTATACCATGGATGCCTCTACTCTTTCACGCATAGGCCTAGCTGGTCTAGCCGTGATGGGTCAGAACTTAGCCCTAAACATAGCTGAAAAAGGTTTCCCAATTTCAGTCTACAACAGAACAACTTCAAAAGTCGACGAAACCCTTCACCGTGCTCAATCCGAAGGGCCATTTCCTTTAACTGGTCAGTACTCTCCTCGTGATTTTGTTCTCTCAATCCAACGGCCCAGATCCATCATCATCTTGGTCAAAGCTGGAAACCCTGTTGATCAAACGATTTCTGCTTTGACTGAGTTCATGGAGCCTGGTGATACTATCATTGATGGTGGGAATGAGTGGTATCAAAATACTGAGAGGAGGATTCAAGAAGTGGGAGAGAAAGGGATTCTTTATTTGGGCATGGGGGTTTCGGGTGGTGAAGAAGGTGCGCGACACGGGCCTTCCTTGATGCCTGGGGGATCTTTCGAGGCTTATAAGAATATTGAGTCTGTTTTGAAGAGTGTTGCTGCTCAAGTTGATGATGGACCTTGTGTTACTTATATTGGTGAAGGGGGTTCTGGGAATTTTGTTAAAATGGTCCATAATGGGATTGAGTATGGAGATATGCAGTTGATTTCGGAAGCTTATGATGTTTTGAAGAATGTTGGTGGGCTTTCCAATGATGAATTGGCGGAGATTTTTGGGGAGTGGAACAGAGGAGAGTTGGAAAGTTTTTTGATTGAGATTACGAGTGATATTTTTAAGGTTAAGGATGACTTGGCTGATGGGGATTTGGTGGATAAGATATTAGATAAGACTGGAATGAAGGGGACTGGGAAATGGACTGTTCAGCAAGCTGCTGAGTTGTCCGTTGCTGCGCCTACAATTGCTGCGTCGTTGGATTGTAGGTATTTGAGTGGGTTGAAGGAGGAGAGGGAGAGTGCGGCAAAGATTTTGGAGCAAGCTGGGTTGAAGGAGGAAGTGGGGAGTGTTAAGAGTGGGGTTGATAAGAAGAGGTTAGTTGATGATGTGAGGCAAGCGTTGTATGCGTCCAAGATTTGTAGTTATGCTCAGGGGATGAATTTGTTGAGGGCTAAGAGTGTTGAGAAAGGGTGGGATTTGAATTTGGGTGAGTTAGCTAGGATTTGGAAAGGTGGGTGTATTATCAGGGCTGTGTTTTTGGATAGGATTAAGAAGGCTTATCAGAGGAATCCAAACTTGGCTAGTTTAGTTGTAGACCCGGAGTTTGCTAGGGAGATGGTGCAGAGGCAGGCTGCATGGAGAAGAGTTGTGGGGTTGGCGATTTCAGCTGGAATTAGCACTCCGGGAATGTGTGCTAGTCTTGCCTATTTTGATACTTATAGACGTGCTAGGCTGCCAGCAAATCTTGTTCAGGCTCAGAGGGACTTGTTTGGGGCTCATACTTATGAGAGGACTGATCGTCCAGGGGCATTTCATACTGAGTGGACAAAACTTGCTCGCAAGAGCAATGCTGGCGTTGGTGCTTTCAATTGAGCATGTTCATGGGTTGGTTGGCTGTTTGTTTGGTTCAATTGACTTTTGGTAATGTTTCTCTTCGAACTGTGGTTGTATGTTTCCTTGAGAGGATTTTTTGCAGTTATTGGTTAGCCTCACAGATTTTACAGTTAATAAGAAATGCATGCCTCTTGAGTTCATTAAATTTTCTTTCATTTGCAGTAGGCAGGATAGAGTTCAGTTCTGCTTTTTAGATTTTGCTTATTAGTGCCTGAATAATGTTACCAACTCTTGTGAGCCTATTTGATTTTAAACTTTGTAATCTGCATTCTTTACATAGGTACGTTGTTGTAGAAATCGGTCCGTTTGAATGCATCGCATCTTACGTTTTTATGAAATAATACTGATATACATCGCATCTTACGTTTTTATGAAATAATACTGATATAAATGTATCATAGGTTAGGTTACAAGGTTGGTTGCAATGTGAAAACTTGGTTGCTGGGCGCGAATGTTTACTTCATCATGAATTCCAAGTTTGATTTTGCTGTTGATTTGTTTATATTTAATGAGCATCTGATGATTTGTTGGTTTTTTTGGATCTTGAATGCTTTGTTAAGAGAGAAGGGAGTGCGCTCTATAAGAACCATTGAGCCCTCTGTTTTTCAAGGGTGATTCTGGCACCATATCATGGGTTACTTATTCTGTGTTTATGCAAAAACCTTTTCCATGGAAATCTTTGGTTTTCATGTATGATCTGCTATGAAGTCAACATGATGCTCAACTTCTGCGTGATTCACCAGAAGCCTTTCCTTCATGTTTTGGCAGTAGCTGGCAGAATAGTGGGCATGAAGCTTAATGGTTAGGATTGTCAGATATCATTTTGCTAACACGTTCAATTGTTCTCAAATCTTAATTTTGGATGGTTTAGATATGAAATTTAGGGTGAGAGATTGTTTCTTGTGAGATGAAGAATCATTTGACTTTTTATTTATTTATTTGATTACAAGAATTATTTGACTTTAATTGCTCATTGCCATGGGATAGTAGCTGCCACAAGGTCTGTGCTAATATGGATTGTTTGGTTTCCTACACATCATTTGAATGATGCAAGTAAAAGCCAATCGTGATGGCAGCGGATGCAAGGGAATTGATTTTCCGTGAGTCACTATGATCTATGTTTTTATTTTCATTTGTTTATACGGTAAGGGTATCCTCGGGTGTCATGTCAACCGAGACCAAGTTTTATCTGGGCCACATCTTAAGGGTGCATTCTTTACCTTGGCCTTGTACATTTTTAAATTGGTCCTAAGGGTTGAGCAAATTTTCGTAATCATCAAGCCAATCCTTGGGATTCCTTTCCGAAGCTGTGAATATCTGAATTACTTTGCAGTCAAATTGATGATATGCTTTCTCTTTATGTGTGTGTTATGCTGTTAATAGAAGAAAAGATTGCTTCTCAAATCAAATCAAAGCTCATTTACTGGCATCTTCTGCATATCTGAATGCTACCATCGTGGTGTGAATGATGCAAAGCCAGCCTAATGCAAAGTAATCTACACTGAAAAGGATATGTTCGTGAAATTAGCAAAAACAATTAAAACAAAACAAAGAAATATTGATCGCCAGTTCTTCGTTCACAAATTAGTTTTCATTTAGTGCGGATTCAGCAATGATATTTTCGTGAATTTTGGTATTTTTTTGCATGCATTTTACATACTGTCTCGCAATGTCATTTTTGTTAATTTTTTTGGCTTTTTACGCTCGTTTTAGATGTTGCCTCACAAAATACTGTTTATTACTGAACTGTACATTGCATTATTCATCATCTAGCAAAAAACTCGTTTTGCAAATATTATAAATATTATTTTTTTTCTTTTTCAGAATGGATTGATATAATTTAGGTGATTGATTCTAAGAAATTTTAATTTTTTTTTTTTTTTTTTTTACTATAATAGCATGATATATATATGTGCGTGTACAATTTGTCTTAAATACATTTTGTATATTAAGAGTTCCAGATAATTTGTTTTTGGTTATTTTTTTTAAAATAGTTAATTAATAATTAAAAGTCGAATGTATGGAAAAAAGAGAAGTGATTGCTATGTGTTTGAGGCTTGTGCACAAAGACTAACCATGTATGACCTAGAAATAAATAAAAAAATTATTTAAAAAGGAAAAAAAGAAGAAGAAATTTATGTGTTTTATTTGTTTCTTCTTTGTATAATACAAAATTATCAAAATTAATTTTTTTTGATAATTTTATTGTAATCTATAAAATTCAAATTTATTCAATATACTTCTTACAAGTTAATTTTTTTTTTAATATTTTTTTTGTTTTACATTGCAAATTCTAAGCTCAGTTAGTATATTTATAATTTACAAAAAAAAAAAAAATCATTATTTTTTTAAAGTCAATTATGCAATTGTTAGAACATTAAGCATTTACTATTTATTTATGGATATTTGGAAGTCAATTTTTTTCAAATTAAATAATTAAAATTATGTTTATGATTGACCAATTAATGATTCAAATATAATTTTTTATTATAATATCATTGATTTTTTTAAAATAAATATATAACAATAAAATGTACATACTCTTTTCATCAACACTAAATAAAAAGGAGGGTTTTTTCATATATTTTTATAAAGTCACAATATAGAACGAACCATTAAACTTAAATTTATTTTATTTTATTTTATGATTTCACATGTTTTATCCAACTTATTGCATAGCATGTTTTTTTTAAAAAAAAAGTAAATGACTAAAAAACTCAACAATATAACTGTCTGTCCCACTGTTTCATTTCATGAAGAATCTGTGACCATTTATTCTTTATTTGTAGCAAAACTCCACTTAAAAGTGTTTCAAGTAAATCCTATTGTCTAAAATTAAGAACTTTTCAATAGTAACTTCATCAATTCACAAGTCCTGATTATCATTCGAGTTTTGCTACAAATAACGAGCAATTTTGTTGAGTTATACATATGGTCATTTATTCCATTCCATGTTCTATTCATTTTTTTTTCTTTTTTCTTGTGTGTATATATATATATATATATATATATAATCTTTGTCATGGAGATTTGTCGTCTCTCTTTCCGTCCGTCATTGATTGTGGCTGATTGTGTAGAATATTGCTGTACTTTTACTTCGGCCCATTTATCGCGAAGGGGTTGTTGATATGGAACTTGAAGAAAGGCCTAACTAATCTATAAAAGGCCAGGTTACTCCCCATCGCAAACCCTGTGAAGATCACCTCCATCTCATTTAAAACCTCAGGATTCGAGCCATTCATGGAACGGAGGAGACACTGAACTGAGGAGTTGTGTAATTGCTGCTTCGTTTATATAATAACCTGTCAAGTGTAAATCCTTCGAGTCAAAGTTAAAATGAGTAATGATGATCTTCTGGTACCATTAGTAATATCCCATTTCCCAGGAACTTGCTTTTAATGAAACCAATATGGAGTCCAATTAAATCAGCTATACTAATTGAAAAACATTAATTTTCAGGGTAGGTAAAAGATGTGTTCTAATTCAAGCTCTTAGTATTGAGATGAGATACCAAAAGGCTTGCTGGTTCACATTCCACCTTACCACCTTCCCCTAACATGCCTATAAATAAATCCTCATTTTTGTCAAAACACTGCAAAACCGTTTCTCATGTATTCCTCTGTTTCTAAGAAAATGAAAGGAGATAAGCGTACTAGTAAACCTTCAAATGCGGGACAACGGTTCAGCATCTTAGCCCATGAAGAGGATTCACTACCATTGATTAGTGTAGAAGAAAATTCACTTGCATTGGTTAGTGCAGAAGCAAATCACCATACGCCAATCCACAGTCTGCCAATCATATCATCGTTCAATGATCGTATTCGTCCTATTCTTGATGCAGTGGATCAGTTGAGGCACCTCATGGTGATGAAAGAAGGGATACAACTCCCTACCATTGTCGTTGTTGGTGATCAATCTTCGGGGAAATCTAGTGTTCTTGAATCACTAGCTGGCATTAGCCTTCCTCGTGGCCAGGGAATTTGCACTAGAGTGCCACTCATAATGAGGCTGCAACATCATCCATCACCCACACCAGAGATGTTCTTGGAGTTTAATGGCAAAACAGTTCGGACAGATGAAGCCCATATTGCAGATGCCATAAATATTGCCACCGAGGAGATTGCAGGCAGTGGTAAGGGCATATCTAATGCTCCATTAACTCTGGTGGTAAAGAAGAATGGTGTTCCTGATCTAACAATGGTTGATCTTCCTGGAATCACCAGAGTGCCTGTTCACGGTCAGCCTGATAATATCTATGAGCAGATTGCTGGAATTATCATGGAATACATACAACCTGTAGAGAGTATTATACTCAATGTATTGTCTGCTAGCGTTGATTTTACCACATGTGAATCTATTAGGATGTCCCGGCAAGTAGATAAGACTGGTGGGAGGACTTTAGCTGTGGTTACAAAGGCAGATAAAGCACCTGAAGGGCTGCTGGAGAAGGTTACTGCAGATGATGTGAGCATAGGCCTTGGCTATGTCTGTGTGAGGAATCGTATTGGAGATGAATCTTATGAGGATGCGCGGATTGAAGAAGCAAACTTGTTTGCAACTCATCCTCTTCTTTCTAGGATTGATAAGTCTATAGTTGGTATTCCTGTTTTGGCTCGAAAGTTGATGCAGATTCAAGCTACTATTATGGCTAAATGTTGGCCAGAGATTGTTAGAAAGATTAATGAGAAGTTGAATGGTAACCTGATTGAGCTAAACAGGATGCCTAAGGCTATGTCGTCAGTTGCTGAGTTTATGAATGCTTTCGTCGAAGTTGTAGGATCTGCTAAAGAGTCTATGAGGAAAATCCTTGTCAGAGGTGAATATGATGAATATCCTGACGACCGTAACATGCATTGTGTTGCTAGAATAGCTGAAATGTTCACCCAATACTCTAGTGAACTCCTCAACTGCCCAGAAAGTGACCATACGAGAAACTTCCTGATGGATGAGATTCGTGTTTTGGATGAATCAAAGGCTATTGAACTTCCCAATTTCCTTCCCCGTACAGCCTTCCTCTCTTTAATGCAGAGAAAAGTTGAAAGGGTTTCCCACATGCCATTTGACTTTGTTGAAAAGGTATGGGCTTACATTGAAAATGTGGTTCTGTCTGTTTTGACACACCACACTGAAAACTATCATCAACTTCGGTTAACCACTAAAAGGGCATGTCAGAATTTAATGGTGAAAATGAGAGAGCAGTCCACTGATTGGGTTTCAGAGATTGTTCAAATGGAAAAGCTGACAGATTACACTTGTAATCCTGAATACTTGAGCGAGTGGAACAAGCTGATGGCCCAACAGCAGGCCTTCATTGATGCTGTTCAGAAAAATGATTCTTCAAAAATACAGATTGAAGGTTTTGGAGAGGTTGAGGTCCAGAATCTGAGAGGGTATCAGCCTCTTCTATCTCAAGCATTTGACCTGAAAATGAGGATAGCTGCCTACTGGAAGATTGTATTGATGAGGTTGGTTGATTGCATGGCTCTTCATTTGCAGCTCAGTGTTCGAAATCTAGTGAGCAAGGAGCTGGAGAAGGAGATTGCTACTGAAATGATGAGTAATAATGGTGGTAAGTTAGAGAAAATGTTAGAGGAGGCTCCCTCTATTGCAGCTAAACGTCAGAGGCTTAATACTAGTATTAAGTTGCTGAGGGAAGCCAAGGATGTCTTGTCCAATATAATGGACAACATTTCTGCCTTCGTTGAATAGGCTATTCTGACAACGAGGTGTTTGGTATTTGTTGTTTTCAATTTGTTCCCTTTTCAATGGAGTTGTTTGTTTTTGATGTTTCAAATTCAGCCACATCTTACAAAACTGAATCCTATTAAGTGCATTGTGTTCATGAATTGTATTGACTTGAAAAATATTAGCAATTCATATATTAATAACGCTGTCCATTTTTCTAAGCCAAATACATAAATAAATAAAATACTTTAGCCTTCCAAAATATATTTATATATATATATATATAGGGAAAAGTGTGGAGGAAACAGAGAAATAAGCAAGGTATAGCTATTAAAAACCTCCATTCTCAAGGTTTGGTTGAGTTCTTGTTACTGTTGCCGAAGGCATTTTACTACTTCCAACCCATATAGTCTCAAGAACCAAATCTTCATCGGCTTGTCTCTCCATTACTTGAATCTTCTTTGTTTTCAAGAGTTTCAGAGACACCATCCCAGAGTATCCTAGAAAAGCCACTACACCAAATCCAATCATGAATCCTATCACCCACAAATACCACGAACTCTGCTTCTTATTTTCTTTCCTCTCTTGTGGAACCACAATGGAGAAGTGGCCCTGATCTTGAGAATGGCATTCATTAAGTTGGTTGATTTCACTAAAGTGAAATATCCCACTAGCACTAAACGTCACGCATTTTGCTCCTGAGAACATCATGCTCTCAGTAATCGTTGAATTGGTGAAACGAATTACTATAGCCTTTCCCCTTGTATCGAGGCTAATCTTCTTTATACTTTTGGCTCTTGCATTCGTTGCATTGAAAACCATAAAACCAATAACAGGAGTGATCAATGAGTAACCTGGAACCCTGTAGTAGTAAGAAGACCAGTTGCCCAAGTCTTGATAAACTATAGCCAGCCTCTTCACATGTGGCAATGTCATGGTTCTTGATGGAATTTGAAGGTTGCTAAAATTAGCACCAATGCTCCACAATGTCCGGCTTCTGATTCGTACTATTGAAACTTCTACGCCTGATAGATTGGCAGGAAGCAGACCCTTGTATAGAGCACCAGTGTGAGGCCGGTGTCGAACCAAGGACTTGAAAGCAAAATCCTGAAGAAATGCATCCAAAGTATCACTAGTATAGTTGTCCAAGCTGCCCACAAACGGTGAAAAATACAAGCTAAGAACTAACCAGATGATTTTCAAGCTCATGTTGGAACTTGGTGGGTAAACAGCAATGTTTTTTCTAATACAATAATCAGAACAAGGTACAAGAGATGAAGAAGGGTTTATACTCTAAAATAATTTCCACATAAACTCTTGGAAACTTAATTAATGTTTTCTTGAATCATGATGTTTTTTCTAAGCATGCTTATAGAGGGACCCTGTAGGAAGGACTAAAGAAGTCAATGCAGTTTGACTTTAAGCCACTGTAATCCAATAAGATGTTGAGGTAAGTATGCTTTTGGGGGATTAAAAAAATGATATCGTTACAATTCAGGACTAATGATTTTGGAGGATACAAAACGGAGGGGAAAAAAAAGGGAGAAGAAGCCCATAACACGCGGGGAATTTTATTATTAGCAATAAAAACATGCGCTGATTGCTCTCCTGGATATGGAGGCAACTTAGCATGGGGCATCATACAAAAGCCCTGTAATTGATTAATAAACAATGATAGCAACCTAGTTGTTATCCTAATTTAATCTCAATTTTAACTGCGTTCAGTTCAACTAGTGTCGGAAAAAAAAAAAAAAAAAGCAACACTTTTTTACACGAGCTGGAGGGGTCAAGCCTCAACTTAATCTGCATTGGAGACCATGATACCTTTTTTCTTTTTCTTACGAGAAAAATTGGAGGCCATGATACTTCATTAGCCAGGTGTGCTTGAAAGTTTCTGGGTTATCTGTTTAATGATTTCCCAAATACAAGATTTAGTGGATATCATCACTATTAACGTGCACAATATTTTACTCCAGCACTCGAAAAATGTAAAGTGTCTCATGATGGCTGGAGGTAAAGCCGCGTCTTCATGTTCTTCTTTTCGAAGGCATTGGCATAGAAATTCTAGACAGCTGCCAAATGCCAATATAGCTAAAAGCGCTTAGTAATATATATATATATATATATATATATATATATATATAGATGATTAGCTTGATTGTTATGTTGTCTAGGTCACAGATAAAAGCATCCAAGTCACTATGATCTAAGCTCTAACATTTTTCCCCTTTCTTTTCAAGCCCTTGCCAGAAAGAAAATGAGCATGAATAAAAAAACCATTTGCTCAATCAGTGACTTTCCAGTAATTAAGATATCACTAAACTACTAGCATCCCATCTAAGTAACCATAATAAAGGGTAACTTTCATTCTCCTTTCTCTTTGCTGATTGTTTGCATGTCCAAATGCCAAAGCATTTTAATAGGAGAACGCAGGTGTGACAGGTATATGAACGTACAATTTATCTAGCCAGATAAAAATAGCAACTTAGATAGTTGACAGATAACTTTCACCATCAAGAATGGCATGGCTAGAATGAATAGAACAAATACCACCAGCCTGGAAAACCCCAAATCAACCTAGGGCTTGAAAAAGCCAAGTCTAGGGTATAAAAACTCATTTCCTTATGGTAAGCTCAGCCCTGAGATGGAGGATGCCATTAATAAAATTATCACTGTCATCTTTTATGAATGCTTGCCAGTGCACACCAAACAGGTTCCGGTACCCAACAGCCTTCCCACCTGTAAAAGTGTAGTTCCCTTTGTACTTGCTCACGTACTCCTCAGTTGGCTTTGATCTGGCTGCGAACTCATAGTCAACAGCAAAGCTCACTGATCCTTTTTCTTGCATCCCCAAAAAAGTCCAAAGCAGTGGCACGTGCCCTGTTGGTCCATATTGCAGTGAGCAGACAAGAAAAATCCCTGTCCACCCAGGTGAAATGCTTGCGAATACACCCGCCCAGTTGGAAAGAGTTGTGCACACTCCTCCCGCTTCAAGTCCAGGTACACCACGCACTGCTGATGAAGAAGTTCAAACTCTACCACCTTAACTGGTCTGTATTTATAGGCCCGCTCCACAAAGCGACGATGAGCAGCATTGGGCTCATCTGCTGCAAGAGCACGCTGCCTATGTGGTGTCTCAGCCTTGAAAAACAAGGCCTCGAGCACAACCTTTGATGCAAGTTCTGGGTGAAAGTCATTGCAAGTTAAAACCTTCTTCAGTTTTCGACAGGTCATATATGGGAAACGGATTAGTCGAACAAGTCGTTTGGCAAGAACTTCTTTCCGCTCCTCCAATTTCGGATAATGAGTACGAGACCACTTAAGCACTAAGTCATAAAGAGTATCTTCCGAAGCTGCCTGGAGATCATCACTGCATAGCACGGCCTCGATACCAGCCAAAGGCAATTTAAGCACCTCTTCCTGAAACCTAACCAGAAAAGAAGCTCAATAGCATGTAAAAATAATTCTAGAAATAAATGACAGCAAAGCTCAAATGCATTTTCCACATATTCCATAGGAAATTAGCACTGAAGCAGCTAACCAAAAAAAAAAAATACTCAAAATATTTATTTTTGCTTTAAGCAAGCAAAAGCTGTAGGCATTGCCAAAATGAATTCATTATCACATAGAAAATTGGCATTAAATTACAAAGAAAATTTCTAATATTAACACACAAGCAATTAATTAAAATGAAAATTGAGCTGCAAATAAAAGAGGCTTACTTAGATATATCTTTGTATTTCACAGAAAGAAACTGCCTTGCTGCATCTGTCAGGGGCTGAACTGCTTCGGCCATTAAAACACTCGAAGGAAGGTCCAAGTAAAGCAAAGCAGATTCACAGGTCATTGGGATACTGCGCAATAACCTGCTGCAATGTCTCATACATGATGCAACCTTGAATTTGTCAGCAGCCAGGAGCACATCCAGCAAAGCAGTAGCTCGGCTCACTGATAAGGTGTTACTGTATATAAAATTGAGGAGGTCCATTAAGGCCTCTTCTTCTGCTCCAGGAGAACAAGGGAAGAAGAAAACAGCGTCAGGTCAACTCCATCTACTTAGGTTGGAAAAAAAGAAGCAATGACAAAGATGATGGCCCATAAATGGGAAGAGGTGCATAACTAACACTCGAAAAATAATATATGATTTAAAAAAAGAAAACAACTATCAATAGGCACTAGTAACCAAAACAGCAAATAACCTAATGCTGCTGTATTTACCAGAGGCATGTATCTGTATAGTTACGTCTCGCTGCTCTGACTCTTTTATCCCATTTGAAAACAACTGCAAGGAACAACATAAGAAGTTTATGAAGTAAGGCTCAAAGGACAATCAATAAAACTAGCAAAAACAAGGCACAGCCTCTCACCTCACGAAAAAATAGACTCTTGGCTGCCAAGATTGCAGAGCTAATATGTATACTCTTAACTCTCAGAACTGCTGAACAATCCATGCTCCAGGATGAATCACTGCTTGGACCAGCAACATCGCCTACACAAGTAAACAACCAATCATACAAAAAAAAAAAAAAAAAAAAGGCTATTTTTAACAGGGCATCACTGCAATTTACACTCAAGCGCCCAACAAAAGCAAAGACAATACAATAAAATAAAATAAGAAAAATACCACGTTGATTAAAATCCAATTGAGCATCTGTAGGAGACCCCTCAAACATGGCTACAGCTTCCACTTCTTGATTTTCATAAACCACAGTATCCTCAGTGTCTGGAATGTTACAGTTCAGTGCCTGCTCTTCCTCGCTTTGCCCCATAATTTCCACAGCTAAATGCCACAAAGTGTAAGCCACATTCTAAATCAGCAAAACCAATATCAACATAGGCACTAATAATAATATTTTACTGTTAAAAATGAAATCAAAGAACTCAAAACTGCTGAACATTAAAATTTTGAAGTAAAACTATGTTCCATTAGCAAGAAAGTCATTATTTTTTTATACATAAAAGACATTACGTCAAAATCCCATTACTTGGACCCCATAATTTTATTTTTATTTTTTTAAAAAAGAAACTTCCATAAAGAACTAAACCAATAACTCTAAATTATCCAACCAGTTAACAATGCCAAAGATTGAAACTAAGTAAAACCAGTTCCCATTACCAAGAAAGCCATCGCTTGATGCATAAAACCACATTATATCTTGAATTTCTTTACATTGGCAACATAATTTTCACAATTCACATTAAAATTCATCCTTGACAATTTGCTATGGCAAAACCCAATTAACAACAAAATCATTACTTTTAATTCACAAAAACACATTATATCAAGCCAAATAACTCCCAATTATCCAAATTGACATAAAAAAAAAAATTAGAGAAGTGCTAACCTTTGTCTTTCTTAATATCCTCTCTCCTTCTCTTTCGGTTACGGGCCCACTCAGTGATGCTAGAGCAACCATCACCAGCTGGTTTTGCATCAGGCAAATCAGCGACGATCTCGATCTTCAAAACCCTGTCAGAGAAATTGCTGTCATTGAAAGCGAAACCGAAATCATAGTCCGACCGGGAGTCGACCGGAGAGAAGTCCGAGTCCATGTCAATTCGAGGATCGAAGAGGTCTTCCCCCGGTAATGTCATTAAGAAGAGAATCTTTAAGGGGTTTTTGTTTTGATTTGTAGGGATTTTGAAACCCTAGAAATTGGGGGTTGTTTTTATTAATTAGTTTTGGATTAGTTACGGTGTGAGAAAAAGAGGAAGTTAGTTTGAGAATGAAGATGGACATGGAGGTCTAATCTCTAGTATAGTTACCAAAATAGACAGTGAGTATTTTGGAGGAAAAAATCAAAAACGAAAATTATTTCAAAACATTTTATGAGAGAAATAATTTCTATTTTTAAAGAAAAAATTGTAATAACTAATAGGTCAATCTATCGTGTTTTAAAACTGGTAATTGATCCTTTCATCAGCCTTGACCGTCAAATTATTAACAGAATCGTTACTTTTTCAATGTACCTAAAGCCATAGCTATTACCCTATTCACATTGGGAAATATCAACATAGGGATAAAATATATAATTTTTTAAACCCGAAGAATTAACTTATTAGTTTCATAGCCATGCAAGGTCTAAGTCACTACTCGTTATTCTACAATTTGCAGGTTTTTTTTTTTTTTTTTTTTTTCATTTCATGGTACAAGGGTTTGGCATGTGCCCCCCGCATGGATTATTTAACTATTTTATAGTATTTTTTAAAAAATATTTAATAGATTATTTTGAATTATTTATAATATTTTTAAATTATTTTGTCGAAACCAGCCATTTATTTAAATAAAATCTATTTATATTTCATGATTATGTAACATGTATTACGTGAATAATTTTTTTTTTTTAAAGATTCTACTAGTTTTTAATACAATAATATGGTATTAGAATGATCTTTTATATTTAAGAGATTTATTTTTAATTATATGTAATTTGAATAGAGTTTAACGACTTAGGCATAAATAAAAAAATTATAAAACTTTATTTTAATAAATATTTTTTATTAGCAAAATATATCAAAAAAAATATATATATAAATTTTATGGATCATTTTTGTGCAAATGAGTAAAAAGTAATATGATACAATAACAATATATATATGAAAAAATAAGTATCTAATTTAATAATTTGAGGAACTTTCATGCGGTTTTATTATTTTTAGATTTTTATTATAAAAAAAAATGATAACAATAATAGAATTGAAGAGAAAGATGATAAGAAAATAAATTCACTATGAAATAAAGTAAATACAAATGATAAAAACTTCAAATAATTCTCTCAATCTCCGACTATGAACCATTAAAAAATACATAAATATTTGAATAAATTGCATCACCCTTTTAATTTCTTAAATTGAATGATGAATTGAATTACATGAATAGTGGGAATATAAAATGATTATGGACATTCATTATTTCATAACACTCCCTTTGAATGTTTATCGTACAAGAAATATATCTCATTAAAACCTTATTAGGAAAAAAACCCAACGAGAAAAAATCCTAACGAAGAAAAAAAAGTACAATATTCCTTATACACATTAATCTCTATATTGAGCTCCTCTTGTTAAAAACATTATTTAAGATCTTTAAGATGACGCATTTCGATCTTGTGTATCATTTTCTCAAAAGTTATGATAAGTGATGCTTTAGTGAATAAGTCAATGGGATCGTCACTTTGATGTATGATTCATTTAATTGAATTATGCAAGTAATATTATTTTGATATAATATGGTTGAAACTTCTACACTCGTTAGATAAACCGCATGTCTCTCCGATATGATGGATCATTAATCTTAGCCAAACATATTCTCAACTTACCTCATGAATTGATATTTATGTATGGTTTGAAAATGTAGCATTTACACTTTGCTTCATTGAGAGTCATGATATAGTTATATCACCATGTGTAAATACATAACTTATTTGTGATCGAGTTTTCTATAGATCGAATAAATAACATGCATTCGCATAATAAATTAATCTTATCTTTGATTTATTGAAGTAAAATAAGCCCATCTCAATTATTTCTTAGAGATAACATAGTATATATTTAATTTCGTTCTAATATCTCTACGTTGGAGCATAACTATATCATACCAATAAATTTACGGAAAATACTATATCAAGTCGGATATTATTAGGAAGATATATTAATGCACCAATGGTACTAAAATATGATACTTCGGGATCAATTAGTTTTTCATTATCTTTTCGAGGCTGAAAAAAAATCTTTTTGAATATCAAATGAACGAACTACCACTATGCTAGTCAATGGATAAGCTTTATATAGAATTATTGTAGAACTTTTTCTATATAAATGGATTGATAAATAAAAATCCCATTTTCTAAGTGCTCGAACCGTAGGATAAGATAAAATTTTATTTTTTCAAGGTAGTCATATCAAATTCTCTTTTTAGATAACTTATAGCACTTGGAATCTCTTCGAAGTTTCAATCATATTTAAGTCATCAACATATACAATAACTATTACAAACCTCTTTCCGAATAAAAATACATGAACAAATAAGGTTATTTTTATAACCTTCTTTCAATAATATTCATTGAAGCGATTATATCACATGCACACAGAGTTAGTAATAAAGAGTAGACATTGAAAAATAAAAAATAAATATAAAAGTACAAGTATAAATTAAATTTCTAAAAACTAAAAAAATAATAAAACAAATACTAAAATAATCATGATAGAGATCTCTATAATATAATGAAATTTATTTTTTTAAAATGTGTATTATATATTTTAGGCATCTTAAGTCATTTTAGGACTTCAATAAAGATTTCATTTTAAGTGAATAAATAAGTTGTGATCACATTCATCAAATGCATACATATGAATTTTTTCATATATTTTGCTAGAGTAAGGAGATAACAAAATGTAATTGCATTCATTATAGGAGAGTATTTCTCCTCATAGTTGATGTTAGGTCTTTTCGAAAACTCTTATGCTACAAGTCTTGCTTTGTATCTCACTATCTTGTCTTTCTTTTCTTTGTTTTTTTTGCATACAAATACCCATTTTTATCCCACTTACTTAATATGTTTAGGTGTTTTGACTATGGATTAAAAAACTACTCGTTTTAAAAAAAACATAATTCAATCTGGATTGCACTTTTGATTTAAGCCAATCATTTTTATATCAACATTCTTCAATAGATATAGGCTTAAGATCCTTATTTTCATTCAAAATATTAATTATAATATTATATATAAAAATATTATCAATAAATATTTTGTTTCGGTCTCATTTTCTCCATGTATTGACATAATTTATTAAAGTCTCTTGATTTTGTTTTCAAACATTTGGACTTCCTTTGGAAGCATATTATTAGAAATGTCTTAGACCGTTTTGTGGACATATGCTTCTTTTATCTTAATTATTTGCCATTTTTTAGTATTTTTGTCTTTAGAACCGATCGATCTTTCACGCTTCAAGCGTGCTTTAGATTCATTTACTAGCACATTAATAGATTTTTCTTTTGGGATATCAATTTTAATATGAGCATTCTCGGTGGTGACATGTGTTTTAGTTACTCTTTTTGCATCCGAGAATGCATTTGGTAGTTAGTTTGTAAAATTTTATAAATAAATTATCTTTTAAACTTCTAGTTCATATTATTTTGTACGAAGATTAAGATGATATAAAGATAAAGTACGCCATGTAATTTTTTTTTCTTCAATATTTCAAACTCGCTTATTTTTTTATTCTCTCCTCCTAATATTGAAAAAACTATTTCTTCAAAATAACAATCGACAAATTGAGAAGTAAAAATATCCCATGTTAATGATTCAAAATATTTAATTATTGAAGAAAATTCATATCCAACATATATTTTCTTTCTCCTTTAAAGGTCTATTTTAGTTCGTTATGGAGAAGCAATAGAGATATATACTCGCATAATAAAAAATTCTTAGATGAAAAATATTTGGTTTGATCCAAATAAATATTGCTCGTATGTAATATTGCATGTCACAAAATATAAATAGGAACTTTTGTTTTTATAAGTAACGGTTTAACTATCAATTTGAGTCTTTTAATAATGATTCTACTAAAACTATTTGAGTATGAACATGAGCAACAAGTTGTTTAATTTTTATTCTAATTATAATAATTGGTACTCGCTAAAACTAAAATTAAATAAAAATTTAATATTAAACACATGTGAGAAATTTTTTGAAGGTATAAGATAATCTTTAAAAACTTGAAAGAATATTTAGAGTAGTTATAATAGTATTTTTATGCTTAACAAAGATTTCATTGATTTTTTTATGCATGAATAGTACCTTTTGCATAAACTAATTATTTTGAGCATGTTGCATATGCATGAAAAATATTTTGTTTGCTTATAATATTTGTTAAAGGGATGCTGAATTATTTTATGTGATGATATGAAATTTCTTGTATGTTGTGAATATTTTATTTGAATTGTTATATGTAGAAATAGTGTTTTAGAGATAGAAGAATTAAATTAGATATTTCAAAGGTATGAGGAATCTTTTTTAAGGGCATAGAAAAATCATATAGGATGTGTAGGAATACCTAATAAATTTAAATTAATTTTTTCAATATATAAGGAATATTTTTCATAGGAAATAATGCAATTTTTACACTAAATAATTAATTTGAAGGCTAAATGAGGTAGAAAAATTATGAAAATTTAGATTAAATCCTATTAACAAATTTTTGAATTTATTCTAGAAAGCAATTGAATTTTTGAAATGTATAGAATAAATTTTTAGAATTAAGGATTAGGGACTCAATTGTAAAAAATTAAAAGTATAATCTTCTAATTAAATTATGTCGAAATTATAAGGGTAAAAAATTGGGCCTAAATACTGGAAAGTAAGGGATAAAAGTGAATATTTCAATAAAATAAGGGTTTAGGAAAGAATTGGCTAAGGAAATCTCTAGAAACTTGAAGGACTAAAATTTGTCATCTTTCACCCAACTTTAACCGACTTAAAGCATTGATTAAGTATGACATTTAGTAAAATTTATGGCCAAAATTAAGCTAAATGGAAGGCCTAAATAAAAAGAAAACTAAATGACCAAAAATTTAGCCAAATAAAAAGAAATGA